AGGTACCGGAGGATCTGTTCCACCACCTCCAGACTCTACAACAGCTTCTCTCTCAAAGCAGTCAGATTACTGAAAGCACTGATGCCTCCCATCATCCACTTGGACTGATCTTAATCCTTTCCAACATCCACCAAAGACTGATCACACAACCCTTTACCATCACTGCACTTTATTTATGCACAATTCTTTAACTTTCTGAATGCTGCTGTAAGTCCTCAGTCTTTTTGTACAGTTTACAGTTGACAATGTTTGCTCCAGTTACTTTATCACTCATATGCTGCTTTGATGCCAATCCATGCGTATATTTGTATATCACTGCTGTCGGAACAAAACCTTTTATCTCCAAAATGACAAGTTTACAGGAAAAGGAAAAAACCTACTTTACTTTTAATGTAAGTTAATGGAACCAGACTTATCTCCAAGTTGTTTTGGGCTGTTTCTTTTGGTCCCTTCATTGTGAAATTTGCCCACAATGTAAAGAGCAACAATTTTCAAATGATGTCAAAAAATGAAAAACTACAAAAATGGAGATGAGGTTTTGTTCTGTCAGCAGCAATATGTGTATATACATATATATGATGCCCATTCATATATATTGTTTTGTTGTCCTGTCTTAATATTGACTGTCATGTGTATTTATTGTTCTCTGTGGATCAGGTGTATTTATTTTAGATTCTGCACTGTTGTCACACTGTCCTGTATCTGCACTCTATGCAGTCCTGTGTAATAGTTGCTGTTGTGTGTGTTGCACCATGGGACCTGAAGAACATTTCGTTCCAATGTACGCAGGTTATGTTGAGGAATGATAATAAAGACCACTTGACCTAGAGGCATTAAACATTTCAGATGTCTGGTTCCCATCACTACTACTGTGAACAGTAAGTTTCTCCACAATGGAGAATTTCACATCAGACTACTCTGAATGACTTTATATCCTAATTACATATTTTTTTTGCGTACATTTAACTTATCTAATGTAATTGTGCAAAAAAGTTGAAAAATGGTTGGAACAAAAAAGTCCAATCTAAAAGGTGCAGCGATACTGTTTCTTTTATTTTTTTTTGGATTTGATTTGTCTTCAGGCTTGCTGTTTGGTATGCTACTTAGCTACTTTGACGTAAGTTTCCTAGAAATTGTAATTCCTAGCATAATTAATCATGTAACTGTGTATCTTCATTCAAGTAGTATAAAAATACAATATTAATCAGATTTCTAAGTATTCAGACTGCAGAGAATCTGCTTGCACAAACTTTGCTAGTTCCTCACTAACTCATCACAGAACTGATCTCGGCTCGACATTTTGGGTGGGGAAACTGAGGTGTTCAAAAAATCCGGAAACACCAATCTGCCTGATACGCTCATGCCAACACCACATGTCAGTGTCAGTGCTGTGCTGAGAATGACCCACCACTCAAGTAATACCTGGTCAACACCAGAAATGATGATGACCAACAATGAATGGAGTAAAGGTAAACCTGGCAAATTGTGCACAGCAACAGACTGCAGTCTTTATTTATACATCAATATAGTGGACCTACACTGTGGGGCCAAAAGTACGTGGACCCTCCTATTAATGGAGTTCAGGTGTTTCAGCCTCACTAACTGCTAACAGGTGTATACAATTAAGCACGTAGCCAAACACTGGCAGTGGAATGGGTCGTATGAAGATACCTTTGCCACAAATCAGCTTGTAAAATTTCTGCTCTGTTACATCTGCCCCGGTCAACTGTGGGTGCTATTGTTGTAAAATGGAAGTGTTTAGGAACAATGGCTCTGTTACATCACTCACTAGAGTTTCAAATTCCTTGGAGGTGACATTAGTACAAAAACTGTGCATCAGGATCAGGTTTCTATGGCCAAACAGCTGCACAGAAGCCTGAAATCACTATGCGCTATGTCAAGCATCTCAGATCATGCTTCACTATCTTGCAGTCTGATAAACAAATCGGGGTTTGGCAGATGCCAGGTGAACACTACCTGCTGGAATGCATAGTGCAAACAGTAAAGTTTGATGAAGGAGAGATAATGGACTGGGCCCCCTAGTTCCGGTAAAGGCTAACGTTAAAGCGGCAGCTTAAAAAAGCCATTTTAGACAAATATATGCTTTAAACTCTGCGGCAACAATTTGGGGAAGGCCCTTTCCTGTTCCAGCACGGCTGTGCCCCTGTGCACAAAGCGAGGTCCATAAAGACATGGTTTGAAGTTAGTGTTATTACAGGAAGTGTAAAAAGATTGCTAATACCAGCCCTCATGCAGGTAAAAGAAGAACAACTCCCTCTGTTTCCATTTTTTAATCCTTCTTTTTTGAATAATCAGGGCTTTATACTTTCTTTGTGATCAGTCCCTATTGACTGGATCTCACAATTCACCACTGCACATTCCGCCTACTGCACAGCGCGGGCGTGAGTAACCACAGGTCTATTTCATGCACTGGGCTTGTGTACATGCTGCCTGACAGAGGTGATGTCACGCCTTGTGATGCAATCACAGCCACAGGTTGTAGTTGTTTTGCAATGTGACCGAGAGAAAGGGAGAAACTTGATCTTGCCGCAGACGTTGTGAAAGGTCAGCGTGTTCTGATCTGCGGGGCTTTTGTCGGAGTTTCTTCTTGGCCCGCCCCTGTCGGCACCCCTTCAAGTTCATTCATTGCTTTTATGACTATGTCTGACAAATCTGTGGCATTAAAGAGACAGCAGTTACATGCAGAGTGCCTGGACGTGGCAAATATATCTGGGGATTTATGCCACCCAAACCGAGAGAGGACCATGCTGGTATCACTGGTCTCCTGTAACTTCATTGTGACACTGAACCCGAGCAGGTCTGTAGCACAGGCATACCTGAAGTTTATATAAATGTTTAAAGGATTAGGTCAGGGTCCGGAAGCAGTCAAAGGTTGGTTATAGAGAGGAGTTTCACGCTGGCTGTTCCTTAACACTTTCATTTTCGTTTAAGCGTATCCACCCACTTCTTTCTGCAGACTGAAAAAGCCTCAGAGGGGCATGTGGGAACAGAGATACAGTATAATGAGAGAGAGCGAATGAATGGATCCAGAAATAGAGGGAAGGAATGTGAAAATTATAACAGTTGAAAATGTCTATGAATGAAATAGTTACCTGGACGAATGAATGAATCATGCTATGAAATTGATATAGTGCTGTTATAATAAAATGACAGTATTCACGTTTGGGTTTACGGGGCTTACAAGAAAGAATTTCATCTATAACAGGGTACCCAAACACAATGTTTGTGGTGAGTGTATGGCCACACTGAAGGCATTTAGATTTCAAATCAAGATTTAAAAAATAATTTCTAACATTACAGTTTACTTTTTGATGGCCTACAAGCCTCACTTTGGTCAGGCCCCCTTTTTACAGGCTAGACATCATAATCCAAGACAATCACACGTCTTCTGCCTTCAGAGCAGCTTCAGTGTTACCTCCTTATATATCTAATATGACAAATACTCTCCAAAAATGTCTGCCTTTTCCCTCAAACATAGCCAAGACGTCCAAAATTTGCTTTTTCAGTTCAGTTGAGACGACTGCAGCTAAAATGTAATGTAAGTGAATGTCACCCACAGACTCACAGACTAATTAGGTTAGCCTTGTTGTCTCCTGTGCAAAACTAAAGAAGCAAACTTTGAGCAGCAAATGTTTCTTTTTGGTCGATTACATTTGGGATAAAAAAGGGAGAAACTTTGCTGGTGAACTATTTCTTATATGCATTTTAAACAAAGCATCTCAGGGAAATTTAGCTTCAAAGAAACATACTTTTATTTAATACAAAATAATATACAACAGATCAGACTCATAACACAAGGTGCAAATTTTGCTATGTAAATAAATCACTGCCTGATATAACATTGTTCATTCAAAGGGAAGTACATTTAGTGACATTTTAGCATACAAGTGTTCCTTTACTTAAATGTTTCCACCATGTTCTGCGATATTTAATAGCAAGCTTGTACTATTAATAAATACGAAATAAGATAAACATTGAGAACATTGCCGTGTCAGTTATCAAAGGCAAGCCAAAACGCAAGCTCTGAAGGAAGAGGAGGATAAAATACAAGTAGAGCTTACATCATTACTGAGTTGTATCTGTCATGATATCGATTATTATAGTAAATGAACTGCTTCAAGGTCAGAAAAAGTATTGAGTGGTGAGGCAATGCCTTTAAATAAAATGCAAATATACATTCAGTCATCAGTAAGGGTGTACAACACGACAGTGTGTCAAAACTAGCATCCATTCTATTATATATATACAATATATAGCAAGGTATCCTGTTGCATTATACAGTAAGGTAGAGTTATTAAAAAAAGGTATTTCATTCATTTCTCAGTGGCCTGAGTGATGCATACAAAAAAGTTCCAAATTGCACTTTTGTGTTCATTTTTAAATATAGGTAAATGTAAGATTATGTTCTGTTTAAATGAACAAAACAAACCAATTGCTTTCCGTACTGAAACTATATGTCAGTAACTCCTCTAGCATTTATCGTCATATTGTTATAAGATCAAAAGCATAAAATATATTGCCGCTGCTCTTGACAAACACTGATATCTCAGCACACTGATATGTCAGAACCGACCACTTTGTATAGCTCAACTATACAAGCTATACAACTTTTTGTATAGCTGAGTGATCTCACATTCACATGTTTTGGTAACTCAGGTTCTAGGTGTAAGCTTAAAGATCAAAATATAATAATCATTTAAAAAAAATCTTTCAAAGTAGTCTATTTTTTATCTTCTTCTTTGGTTTCCCTGACATTGTGAGTTAAATAGCCCACAAGGACACTGGCATCATCTTAACACTACCTGAGTAAGTTAGCTGCATGACATTCAGTCAAATATTCGTTTGGCAGTGAGGAAAGAACACAGCATTCCCATTGTCATTTAACATGAGCAGAGACTCTGATCAACTCTGCCATTCCTTAAGGGCCATTATGAAGGGAATCTTCACCCAGAAGAGTTCCATGTCCAGGAGCAGTCCGGAAACCCAGTCTCTAGTCCTCGTTTTTTGGAGTTTTAAAATGCTGTTCTCCTAGCAGGTAATGTAGGCCTACACGAAGGTCATCGAGTCTGAGGAACTCTTGCCCAGCAGGTTTAAAGAAATTGATGGTGACCACTTCATCCTCATAGAGGCTGACCAGTCTCTCGTGTCTCACACACCTCGTGTCCGGGTTTTCAGCCTGAAGTGTGATGGAGGCTACGGTTTTTTTCTGCTCCAGGGTCAGGTTGCCCATGGTGCCTTTGTTCCCAGTCACTTTGGCACAGATGTAGAAGATGTAGGGGCCCGGCAACTTCACCATCACTTCACTTTCATGATTCAGCTCCACGCTCTGGTTCCAGGTCACAGTGAAATGCAGTTTAGTATTTTCTTCATCTGGAACTGGTGAAAAGAGAATGCAGAATGAGAATTACATATATGCTTCCTGAGTGTGTATGTGTGTGTGTGTGAGAGACTGAGAGAGAGAGAGAGAGAGAGAGAGTGTGTTGGTGTGTGTCTGGGAAAGAGAGAGGGAGAGAGAACTAAAACCACGCTGCCTTTATTGCTAACAGCGGAAAAGTGAGCGGAAAAATGACAAGACACAAACAAGCCCACAGTTATCGCAAATGCCATGTCAGCTTTTTGATACATACACGTCTATGGACTTATACCTTCAATATGAAGGCAATATGAGGTCAGCATTTCTGAGCTTTAATGATATAGTTCATTTTCAAATGTAAAATCTGATGTATTGACTGTGGAGCCCTATTAAGAGTTCATTTTTGCTCTTTAATTGGGAAGCACACATTAAAAATAAGTGCTTAAAAAACTTTGACAGCTTGAAAATGTTGAACTCTTCATTTCAAACTGGGTGTATTAGTAATTTATTACAGAACCAGCAACTATATATCCATGATTTGAGTCCTTTCGACAGCGTCTCTGTCCTTTTCTTGTAGTACTTTGCTGCATGTGCAGCCCACTCTGTTTCCAGTAAGCTGTTTGGAAAACGTTCTCATGTTGTGGTGGAGGTGGAAGGGAGGACGTCAAGAGCTCCAGCCTCTACCCACTGCCATGAGCAGAGAAGTGGAAGAAACTCAGATGCTTACCTTTCTTCATGTTCAGGTATATCCCTCTGCTCAATGGCTGCAACAGAAAAAAGAATGATCAAACACAGTTATCATGACTGTAACTAAAAAAAGGCTTCTATAAGGACAAAAGCTGTGTCAGCATTACGACTCAAGTTAATAAACACAAGCTGGGTTCAGTTAGAGATCTAGACTTACAAAACACCACATGGGCAATACTCTTTTCTAGGTAAAACTATCACTGCTAAGGTGAGCTAAAAAGCTTATATTATTACTATTATTATTATTATTATTATTATTATTATTCAGAATGTAAAGCTTGATTGTTTTAAGTGACAATGCATGGAGAGACAAGATCAGCACTCTTCAAGCCTACTGCGCATGACAGTAGAGCAATAATTAAATCTTATTAAATGAACGTTTAAATAGATTTAAAGGAAATCGTGTCATTCTTTTATTCTTTTAAGTTATAGTGAAACTCCACCAATTTTTCAAAATTTCAGTGTTTGAGATGTAAACAAAGTCATTCAGAGTGGTTTGATGTGAAATGGTTCATTATAGACAGAGATGCACCGATAGCACGTTTTCCCTTCCAATACCGATACTTGATCCTTCAGTATCAGTCGATACCGATAATAACTCACCTCTACATCCAGATATTTGCACAATTACATTTTATAAATATCATTTTGGTAAAATCTATTTTCTGTATCACAAATAAAACACCCAGCTTGGCTAAATGGCATTTGCTTATTGGATTATATTTATTAGGTGATTAAGAAAGCTTATTATTGCCTATTTACTATATCTATACTTATTCTTTATTGTGTACAACAGTTAAAAACTGAACTGAACAGTAAACAGATAAACCTGTGGTGTTTACACATCAGAACACAGCAGCTTCTCTGGCTCAAAAACGAAGCTGAATGATGTTTCACATACAAATTTCTCAAGTCATTTGTCTCAAACGTGCGTCTTGTTCACTTGCACTGCATCTCTGGGCATCAGCGTCACTAAATATCACCGCCCTCAGTATTAGTGAAACCCTGCTGCTGAGTGATCGGGCTGACCGACAGAGGCGCACTGTCAGTGGGCTAGTAGACACACAGGCCCAGCCAGTGGGCTGCTATGCTAAAAGGCTAAATCGAGGCTAAAGGTTCTCACTATGCTGAGAGTCTGGCAGCTCCTTCTGCTCTCTCAGTAACATTAACTCAGTCTGTAAGTGACCAGACAGCGTCAGTGTCCGTTAGCATGTTATTAACACCAAAATCTACTGTTACAGATTCTGCCATGAGCATTTTTACTGCTGCTGCTGCTCGTCTCCCACACCACCAACACATTGTTAAGTTCTGTCTACCGGCGCGCATGCACACGTCAGAAATTGCTTTGTGGTGTCAGTCATAGGTATCGGTATCCTAATCACTGATGTCAATACTGAGTTTAAGTGCCAGTACCGATATTGTATCATATCGGTGCAACACTAATTGTAGAGAAACTTACCAATTTCCATAGAGTGGTGTTGACAGGAACCAGGGGTCCTGATGTCTACAACACAAATATAGCCATTTTATTTACAATCCAAAACAACCAGTGAACCTAGATGTGCATTCTGAGTTCTTATATGTAATGTACATCCTTCATGTATCCCGTCACTGTGAATGGATTAAAATAAATGGATAAAAAAAAACTTTATCACAAAACTATCATAAAACAGACATCAGTGTCAGACATCAGGCTGAGTATTCGTGGTTAATAACTTTTTGTGAGGGAGCTCTTAGAGACAACTGTTCAGACGTCTGGCCCAAATCACCACCACTGTGAACAATTTCTAAGTCGGTATCTTTCTAAACATTTCACACCAAACCACTCTGAATGAGGCTGCTGACCTGTTAGCTACTTAATTATGAAGAAATTTTGAAAAATCGGTGTAGTTCCCCTTTAAAGACACAGTGCTGGATTTTGTGCGGTTATGTTCATTTACACCGCTCTCAGGTCTCTTTAGTGTGTGTCGGTTAGACTGTGTCCAAACGCACACCGAGCAGATGATCAGCACACAGGCTACATGTGCTCTCAGGAATAAACAGCGCCCTCTGCTGGACTATACTGGAACGGCTGCATCATAAACCACCCATAATGATCTATGAGAGATGTTAAAGACACAAAAACTCAAAAACAAAGCTCACAGTGAAATCTGGCTACTAAAGCAGGTGAGGGACACAGGTTCTCGGCTCAAACCCCGCGCCAGCTCCGCTAACTCAGATGTGGAGCTAAACACACACGGCGGACGGTTCGGCTCTGAGACGAGCTCACAGACTTCACCCAGAGAGACGGACTCTTCCGAAAACGCGATTAAACCCGTCTCCGCTACACTTCGAGCGGTCCCCGCGTGTCCCTGTGTGTCCGGCCCGCCGTGTCTGAGGATGTGAGTTACTCACCGAGGACTGCAGGGCGGACAGAGTCCAGACGCAGCAGGCGATGCACGCGCCCGTCAGCAGGGTGTGGAGTAGCAGCAGCACCCAGAACTTTCTGCGCGCGCCCAGCTCTCGGCCAATGGCAACGCTGCCTGCTATCCTCGCTTCAGCATCTTTTGCGTCCATAATGAGAAATGAGTCTTCTCATCTACGTCCAGCCGTTTTTAACCGAGTGGGCACCCCGTGGGAGTGGATGGGAGTGGATCGAAAACCAGAAATATCCCCTTTTGATGCTGACTGAGGTCGCGGAGGATGTAGGCAAGACATTGCAGCAGCATCATAGCCTACGCGTTTCATACAGGCTGTTCAGCTTCGAAACACAGCGCTTCGGTAGCCTGATTCACGGGTTTCACATCGCCTAAGGAGCCGCTGGAGGACAATACAGTGCAGTGAAGTTAAACACAGACTCACAGAGAAACATTTGAGGCCACTGGCAAATATAGGCCATTGCTACACCTTACTGTTCGTTCTGATCTTCAGAGCACTTTTTAAACTATTTTGCTGGGCACTTGCTTTGTTTTCCAAAAGCTACCACTTTTTCCTTTTCTGTACCAATCAGTGGCACAGGGGGTTTTCAGTGGGGCGTCCAGGTTAATCCCAGTGGTTTTAGTGGGACAAACTGCTAGGAAAAACGGTGTGTGGTAACATCATGAGAGAATAATGTTTGTCTGGGTAAAATGCTAACTCAGTGTAGCCTTAGCAGGAGCTCAGCACTGGACTCTCCTCTAAAGAAAACATGCATCACCAAACATGCATGTGCTCAGATGCAAAGAGTATTCAGCCTACATGATACATGACAGTCAATATTAGTGACTATTGTTTTACATTTTATCTTGGCTTCAATCATATAGACTACTTCATTTAATGTAGCTCACAAAGCAGCAGTGCTGAAGGATACGGTGTGGTTATATTAGTGTGGCTATCATGTTATGTGGAATATAGTGTACGTTTTGTTTCCTGTACTGCTGAACAGTGTTAAAGTCTTCAGCTACAGAAATATTACAGTAATTTACAACAATGTGTAACAAAAAAATACCGTAAAACACTGATGTAGAGATCAATGTGGATGCTTTTAAATGTTCTTTTAATGTAGAAAGCCAGTGTTAGCTGCTTTTGAGCTGTGTCCACTCTCCTGTGAAATGCACTGATTTGAGTGTAGCGTCAGTTCATAACTGACTGGTACCCAACCCGATGGCAGACTTTCACCATGTAAATACACGATGTAGCAGAACTTTTCTATAGTGACTGTTTCAATGATGATGGTACTTTGTTTAACTGGGGTGGCTAGAAGAGTGGCCATGCTTAATCAGAGGGTGGCACTGGTCACCACTGGCCATCTCTTTGCTACACACATGGTACCAATATTAAAACCTGGAGTACCAGCCATATGGACACCAATGAGCATGTACAAGTGCACTAAAAACTGTATAATTTACATGATTTAAATGTGCACATGAGTTCCACACACATGAAATGACACTCACACACATTATCTAAGCTGCTTATCCTTGTGGGTCACGGGGGGGTGATGCTAGAGCCTATCACAGTGGTCACTGGGTGGAAGGGGCGTGTTGCCAGTCCATCGCAGGGCTGAAATGTTACATCAACTCAAATTAAATTTGAATAAAAGTTTTTAAACATATTAATTACATTGATGTAATATATCTCATTCATGTGGAGCCAATTTACACATTTGAATCAAGCAAACTTTAAGCAACCTTTTTTTCGGTGTCGGCCACCATGCCCAAACTACTGCAACACTATAAACCCACAGGAGAAACTGCACAGATAACATCACATCACACACTGTAAGTGCTATTTCAGGAGTGAATCGTCTTGATTATTATTTCCCTCCATTTTCCATTTCAGCATGTTCTGCTGATCTTGGCCTGATATAGATAGTCATCAATACACCACCTGTAGTGATCACTGTAGGCTGTCTTGATTTAAATCAAACTTTGCCTTCTATGCAGGACAGTTTCAGTGAGAGTTGGAGCCGTGGGTGAGTCGAGACCGCATAAAGGTCAGGTCCAGTATTACTCGAAAGCCAGGCTCACATGCATGGTCAGAAAATGTAAAAAAAAATGCCAACATGCTTAACTCTGTTGTGATCGTTATCCTTAACTTGTATGTTCTCCTACAGTAGCCCTGGAAACGGCCAAACTTTTTATCGCATCATCAGTTGTGTAGAGGTAGAAGGTAAAAAGGTGTGCTGCAGTGGGGAAAACACTAAACACCACAGCGTAGGTGGACCTGAGCCTGGTTTCACTAGAAAACCCTTATCTCTATCTCTGGGCCAGAAACCTTATTTTTGCAGGCTCTGCCTTAAACACTTACACTATATGCAAAACTGTGGCCATTCTGACCCCAATGCCTTTTTACACAAGCAGTATATGTCTACATTTGATGTTCTGTTGGTTCTGTGACAGATGTACTGCTTGAATAAAGAGGTTTCAGGGTCAAAATGGGCTCTTTATCCCAGCAGTATGCCTTCCACAGAATTTTGCATGCTCATGCAGTCAGTTGAGACTTGAAGCAGGTGCATATTAGGGCAGATGAAGCTGAAACCTATCCCCAGCCTCAAGGTGACGGTGACGTGAACTGCACAGTATAAATTCCAGGAAATATGAGTATTTATACTCAAAGTTCCTGTTTTCTCCAGGAAAAAAATGGAATATTAGTCTTTTGATATCTATCTGCTGTATCTGTAACATACAGCTGATTACACAAAGATTTCAATTATTATAAAATGAAAATGGGCACTTGCTTCAGCACCTGCACATTGCCTTTAATATACACCAATCAGCCATAGCATTAAAACTACCTCCTTGTATCTACACTTCTCCATTTTATCAGCTCCACTTACTATATAGGTGCACTTTGCAGTTCTACAACTGCAGACTGTAGTTCATCTGTTTCTCTGCATATTTTAGTCCTCTCTTATCCTGTTCCTCAATGGTCTGCTTCTAGAGTTTTTAAACACCATGTCCACTCACTGTCCACTCTATTAGACACTCCTACCTTGTTGATCCACCTCGTAGACATAAAGAAATAGACAGCAGCTCATCTGTTGCTGGACAGTTTGTGTTGATCATCCTCTACTCCTTCATCAGTGGTCACAGGACGCTGTTGGCTGGATATTTTTGGTTGGTGGACTATTCTCAGTCCAGCAGTGACACTGAGGTGTTTAAAAACTCCAGCAGCACTGCTGTGTCTGATCCACTCGTACCTGCACAACACACACTAACACACCACCACCACGTCAGTGTTACTGCAGTGCTGAGAATGATCCACCACCCAAATAGTGCTCTGTGGTGGTCCGTGAACCCTGACTACTGAAGAACAGGGTGAAAAGGGGCTAACAAAGCATGCAGAGAAACAGATGGACTACAGTCTGTAATTGTAGAACTACAAAGGGCACCTATATAGTAAGTGGAGCTGATAAAATGGACAAAGAATGCAAATACAAGGAGGTGGTTTTAATGCTATAGGTGATCAGTGTAAATGACTTTTGAATAAACATTTTTTCCGTTCTGGGATACACAGTGAAGTTACTGTCTGTGGTATGGTCCGCTGTATGCTGCAGAGCTGGTAGATAGCGATCAGGTTGAAAAATGTTGATGGGGCATATAGTAAACTTTTCATTATGACAGTCACGTGGTTTTATTTAGATAGTATTTGCAGAACCTGGACTTTCCATGGCCATATTTATGACATTCTGTCAGCATATTGTGAATGAGCAGTCAGTTTAATTGGAGAGGTCACTTGAAAAATTATCACCTAACTGTCTACATGTGACAGACTAATGAGAGCAAACTTCAGTACAGGAAGATGGCTGAAAGTTTTTCCTGTTTATTCTCGCTAACTAACAGTGCACAAACGGTGGCTCTACAAGCGCCGCTGTCACTGCTGTCATCAACAACTTGACCTATGGTCTGTCAACAGTATGGTGGTGGCAACAAGTGTGACATCATTCAAATACTGTTCATACCAAATGTATGAAAATCAGTCGCGATTCATTTTTACACAATCAGATTTATTCAACATTTTCCAAACTGTCTTTATCCCACAGAATTATTCAAGTTGCTCTTGCTGCTATGCTGTTCAGACTGCTATATGTAAATAATCTCTGCTCTGATTGGCTGCTTTGTATTGTGCCTCATTCAAAAAGCAGCACAAGCTGGAGCACTCCTTATAACTTCATTGTGATTGGTTGAATTGAAGGCTAAAATATATAAATGCACTGGAATTGGGTGACATCACAAGTAATTCAAAATGAAATGGTTTTAAAGCTTAATCTCTATGGAATATATGAACCATAGGGACTGGAGAGAGAGTGGCACATTTTGAACAGTGTTAATGTAATACATCAAGTTCTTATTGTAAAAAGTGAGGCAAATTCAGTTTTCCATGATAAAAGCCATTTAAGAATGCTCAGAATTTCAACAGGATTTCAAGCTGGTTTTGGAGGACCTTTACTGTGTTGCAGTATGTTTGGGGTAATTGTGGTGTTGGAGGTCCAGGACCTAGGACCTAGTGCCACGACCACGCCTAGAACCCCTGGGTGATAAATGCACCAAGGCCTCATAAAAGGAGCATTTGCTTTAATGTGTCCCTCTTTTAAAGGGGATCTCCGCTGATTTTGCAAGATTACTCAATCATTCAGTGGTTTAGATGTAAACAATATCATGCAGAGTGTTTTGTGTTAAACACGCCTTTCTAAAGAAATTTACCGAGTCAGAGTTGTTTACCATTAAAGTACTAAGAACCAGACGTTATGGTTATGAATGTGTAGCTTGATACCTGAGACATTGTTTTGTGACAGTTTTGTTATAAGGTTTTGGCCTAAAACATATTTTTAGTATAAACTATTACTCCAGAATTACTTCTGTGTTTCCTCTCAAAACCACATTATCAATGGAATGGAATGGAAATTGTGGTGTCAACAACAAACTATATGCTTCTCTGCTTACCAGTTTATGAAGAAGGATAGCGAGGTAGATAGTTATTTTATTGCGTGGGCTACTTTAGACAGTCTTGATACCTTGATTCCAGTTTCTGTGGTGGAAAATACAACAGAGGGAACAGCAGGTTTCTTTAGCAGCTGCATTTGAAGAAATCCGCTTTGCATTTTGACTGGTCTTGAGTGGTCTTCCACATTTGTAGCTAGAGTTGTTCGAGAAAACAATTAGGCACAACTTCAGGACCTCTGGTATTTGTATCATCAACTGAAAAAAAACGCAACGTACTGTATTTCCTCCATTTATTTTTGCATCCTGGTACAGCGCAGTTCACCACCATTCCAAACCACTAACCAGCAAGATGCAACTGTGATCTATTGCAGCCCCTATGATAAATACTCACACT